CAGACAGAGCAGATGTGGACTGATCCTGCCCTGTTCTTCGCAGTGTAAACAGTCCCTGAGGTCTGCTGAAACACGGGAGCCTCAAAGCCACATGGCCCTGGGGTTGGGCAAGGCTCTGTCCCCAAGGCACACAGCTAGGGAGAGGGGACACCGTCTCTGAGTGTGGGTGGGCGCCAGCCCCTTGTCCACCTGTGCTGTCCCACCTCACGCTGCATGGCTGCCTTGCCCATGGGATGGAGGGAGCCTTGGGATGTCTTCAGGATTCAGCAAGTGTCTTTCCAGGATTTACCACCCTGAGGGCTGGGTCAGGCCAAGCTGGGAAAGCCCTGCAGCACCCAGGGTCCTGATGCTCAGCCTGGCAGAGGAGCCCGGACTACCACAGCCCCTTGTCATGGGAAGCAGGGGCTGCCGCACCCCCAGGAGCTGTTTGCCTCCAGGGCCCTGCCCCAGCACCTGGAGATGAGAGGTCACTGCAGGGGAGGGGCTCAGAGATCATATAGTGCTTTTTGCACAACAAAGCCATGGGCTGTTCCTTTATCTTGTTCTCCCTCCCCTATCATGAATAGTTTTTCTGGTCCGACTGGATTTCCCAACAAAGGGAGAAGGTCCACACAGGTGGGAGGGTGAACCCCTCACCCCTGCGCACTGATGGCCCGCCCCAAACCTCTCTGCAATTGGGGAACATAAATAGCATCTGGTGAGTCACCAGCACAGGGTTTTTTGTGCTGACCTGGAGCAGGCACGTGCCTCTGCTACACTCCCAGGGCACCCAGTCAGCCACGGCTGCTCGAGAGCGACACATCCAGAGGGAGCACCCACTCCATGCTGGGAAGCTGGGCGCTAGTGTCCAGCTCTGGCTGCTCTGTGCCTCGGTTTCTTGCCTGGGAAGAAGAGAGACAGGAGTGACAATCTGGATGTGCCACCATGGCACAAGGCTGCCTTGGAGCCATGTGCGGCACACGCAGTGGCTCCCTCTGGCACCTGGTTGGGTTTGGTCCTGGCTGCCAGCACTGGCAGGCACCCCAAGCCCCAGGACACGGCGCAGAGCCCATCTCGTCCCCGCTCCTGGTCAGCCCAATCCTGCCTTTCAGGCTCTGAATGGCAGGGTTGGGCTGACCAGGAGCGGGGACGAGATGGGCTCTGCACTGCACGCTCATCCCCGAGGCATATCCCCGTCCCCCAGCCCAGCAAGTCCCCATCCGCTTCCTCCTGCTTCAGCCCCAGTCAAGGAGCTATGTGCCTGTGAACACGCAGCAGGACACAGTCCCTGCTTCTGCTAGACAGGTGAGCAGTCACACTGTAAAAACGAGATGGAAACCAAACAAGAGATTCGAAGCCCTGCCAGGAAGGTGACACCGTGAGAAGTGCATTTGTCTCTCGCAGCCCTGCAGGGAATATCTAGAGGCTGTTAACTTCTGGGGGATTCAGGGAGGAGCTGGGCACAGCTGTACTAATGGATCATGGTAATCACCTTCATGGTAATGATTCATGGTAATCATCATCAGCTTCACAAAAAAGCAGGGCTGATGCTACAGCAGCTTCTGGACACGCTAAAGCACAGTTGTGTATTTCTTTCGCAAATCAGACATCTCTGTTTAAATCCGTCAGACCCTGGAACTCCTGGCTGGCAGCAGGGAAAGACGCTGGCACTGGGTATCGTGTCCGTGCATGAGGAGGAGTCGCTGTGTCTGAGGCATCTCTCAGGATGTCAGACCCGATCCCACCATCGGTCCCTCCGCTTGTGCTGCCTTCAGCGCCACGCCACGTTGCACAAGCCGAGGCTGCACCTTTGCACACACTTTGCAGCTGCAAGGGTGGCACTCACAGGTACCAAACCTCTTCTATGCATGTCCCTACATACCCCAAGGAGCTCCCAGGCCATAAACCCTACGGGCAGGCGGGCGTTATAAAGCGAAGGACACTGGGGGACAATAGTCTGATGCAGTGTGGGCAGCTGCAGGGCTGTGCACGGCGCTCTGACATGGCCTGTGCCAAACCTGGATGTGCCAGACACAGCACGATGCTGACAGGTCCCTGAAAAGGAGCTGCCACCTGGTGGCACTGGGACAATCCTGCTGGCCTGCCAGCCGCAAGGACCTGGATGGGGACATTTGGGGTGGCCCTGCACCATGGCACCGACTGTTCAGCTGCACTGGGGAGGCTGGGGCCGCTCCGGCACAGCCCAGCATTGTTGCTTTCGCCCTGGGACACACACCCAGGTGGGGAACTCATCCAAGCCCTGAATCCTGGCTCTTGCCAAGGGTGCTCCAGCTGTAGCTGCCCTCCACAGGTTTTGCTACACCACTTTGTGCCAGGCTAGAAGCTGGCGGGCAAATGCCGCCTCCAAACCCCCTCAACTTGCCGTGGCCTCTCCGGACCTGATGCCACAAGGTCAGGCAGCTCTGGTGAGATGTAGCTGGACTTGTGCTCCCTGTGACGTGTCCCCATGTGTGCCACACCTCGGCCAGCCCACCATGGGATGGGACACCTTGGTGCAGGGTGGCCAGAAGCAAAGTGAGGAGGCGAAGGAGACCGTCAGGTCAGAGCCACTCTTCTGGGGCCAGAGAAGATGTGGTTTAGAGCTTGCTGGGAATCTCCAGACCACAGCAAAGGGCCTTCTCCAGCCAAGACTATCCCTGATAACACCAAACTATGTCAGCTGTGCTGAGAGGAGAGCCTGGAGGCAACAGGCTCTGCTGGTGGAGAAAGCCTCCAGGGAAGTTTCCTTCCCTTGACTCTGGGAAGCCTCAGCTGCAAAGAGGAGCTGGGCACCAGGGGAAAGCAAGGGCTGGGGGCCACCAGCCCATCCCCAAAGACTCCTCGCCCACCACGGTCCCCTCGCTCAGCAGGACTCAGCCCCATCCCACTTCCCAGAGGAGAGGGAAACAAAAGAGGAGGAGGGGGAAGGGAAGGGTCTAAGAGAAACTTCTTCCAACTTCTGGGGAAGAGAAAAGCCCTATTCAGGCAGGAAGAATACCCGTGTGGAGCTGGTCACTAAGCAACCCGCAGCAATTCGGCACGGCGCAATGCATGGGCAAGGAACAAAACTGCCTCGCTGCCCACCAAGAGACCAGCCGGGCGAGTGCCAGGCAGGGAGAGCCTGTAGGGCCTGGGGACAGGGGACACCAGCCGTGCACAGCCACTGCGAGGGGCTGAGACACCCAGCGGGGTCCAGAGCTCCTGGGTGCTGCGGGAGTTTGTCCTTGGTCGGCTCTGGAGCGCAACTAGCCTCCATTGGGCTCACCCTTCACGGGGAGGCCGTTTGCTGCTCCAGAAGGATATCTTGTCTGCTCCAAAGCCCGTGGCTCCCCATGGGTCTGGTGTTCACGCGGGGCTACATACATCATTCCCAACAGAGGCACAGTGCATTTCGAGTAACTCCCTGCTCCCATAGACACTGCAAGGCTTGTACGAGCAGAGCAACCAAACGCAGGCTACGCCCTCTCCCAGTTAAGCCGAATTCTTCATTCAGATTGTCAATGTGAGGGGTTGTCCTTTGCAAACAAGCTTAGTGAGACATGAGAAACTGCTTGGCCTCTCTGCAGCACAAGGAAAAAAGGGACAAAGGAAATCGGGCCTGACAAACCCTGCTGACAATCGGTGCCAAAATGCCTCCCTCGGAGCCTGGGGAGTCCCTGGAGATGCTGCTGCCCCCAACAGAAATGCTGGACAAAAGGAAAACCGCTCGCAGCCAGAGCAGGTCCACTGGGACCAGACAGTGTGCAGCTGGGCCCCAGCCCAGAGCCTGAGCAGCCCGGGGAGATGCACTGGACCTGCCTGGACACTGGAGGTGACTTTTCGCCTGCATGGTGTCATGGGGGAAACATCCAGCCCTTCATGCATTTGTGTCCAGCATCTGATATACTTGGAGAGCAGTTGCTGGGACAAGGACAAACTCACCAGGTGTTTACCCACTTCCTCAGGGAAGTGTTTGGCCAGCTCTGACCCCTGTCCTGCCATAGCAAGGTGAGCATGTGGGGGATGGTCAGGTATGTCCACACAAGCTGCAGAGCACCTGCAGGTGGAGGTATTCTCATTAACACTCAGTCCTGCCCTTTCCTGGCTTCATCATCCACTATCTCAGCCTTTAAGCGACTGCTTTGGACGCACACTAAATAACCACAACCCACAGGGCTGCAATGAAAAATCAGCTTGGCCAAAGTAGCACTGTTTATTTTGCTTGCAAAACCCCTTTCAGAAGGCCAAGGCGCTGCAGGCTTGCTGGCTGCAACCAAGCTCCTCTCAGCGCGATGAGGGACAGGCACTCCAGCCAGCAGCAAGGACGGATAGCATCCATCCCTGGACTTGGAGAGCTCCTACTTCCCCTGGCAAGAGGGCAAACACAGCGCTCCTGGCACAGCTGGGAGCCAAGCATGCCAAAGCCCAGCTAAGCAAGGACTTGGCACACCAGGACCGTGACACAACATTCACATGTCCTGCAGCCAGGGGAGCCCCAGAGCAAGAGGCACCAAGCCCGGCATGCCTGCTGCACCATGGAGAGCATTTACCTGCCCTTGAGCTGATGGTGGTGCTCCTTCGGAGGTCTCATGACAAGGCTGCACTGGGAAGCAGAAGTGGGACTCATCCTTTCTCAAATTAGTCACCTGGAAGTGTCCAGTCCATCTTTTTTATCTGCAGGAAGCAGAGTGAGAGCAGCACCTCTAGGAATTAAGTCAATCTGAGACAGTATCTGTGTGTTCACCTCCATCCACTGGCTGCCAAGGGAGCCTGGTTAGACAATACACCTGACTCCGAGATGGGCACCACTAGTGGAGAGGATCCACCCAGAACAGAAGTAGCCCCAGCCTGAGGAGCATCTCCTTGCAAAGAGAGAAAACCCGGATGAAGATGCAGGACACTGGACCATACGCTACCCAGATCCATCTTGGATTCTTCTCTCCCAGTACCAGTGCTTACAACCATCAGCAACAGTCTTGCAGCACAGCCAGATGGGACTTCTTTGTTGGTGTGCTGCATTTTCTTGCTGTTTTTCTCCCGGTCTGTAGCATTTGCACATTTGTAGAAACATTGTGAGAGAACAGCGGTGCTGAAGGAGGGAAATATCTTTGTGGGGATGAAATGTGCCTGGAATTACAGAGCTAACCTTGGCTCTGGTGGTCCTCTTCCGTTCCCAGTGAGGTGTTGTTGAGATTTCCCAGGCAATGGCCCTTGCCACACAATCAGGATCTCTGGTAAAGCTTCATGATATTCTCATCGTGAAGCTTTTTCCATACCTGCTTCTCCAGGCTGAAGTCGTGGTTAGTGTAGAAAATCAGACGTTGCCAGTCCTTGTCGTAGTAGTGATCCGAATACTTCTCATGACCCTCTGTGATGTAGCCATAGGCACTCACCTGGGAAAGATGGAGGGCTCACTGGGGAGAGGTACCAGGGACGGAGGGAGCCAAGTGAAATACAGGACACAGTTCCCAAATGGGGAGGGAGCACAGGACAGGAATGCCAGTCAGGACTCCTCCGGGGTGACCCTGCATGGGGGTCCAGAAGGACCAGACCATGAACACTGGCTCCAGAGAGCCTGCTGTCCTCTCACTGCCTCTCTGGGAGGCAGGATGGCTCTCAGGCCACAGCAGGCTTCACCACCTCTGTGTGAACTATCTTGGGGCTGTTTTTCTTGTCTTCAATCTGCTCCTCCACAGCTGACAAGAACCCATATACCCTCAAGGCAGATGGTAGGCAGGGTTGGAGCCACCCCTGCTCTGCCCTGTTATCCTATCCCCCCTTCCAGACAGTGCTGTGTGCAAGAATCATCATGCCCTTTCCCGGTCACAGAGGTGGAGGGCAGTCAGCAGCAGGAAGGCCCCTGTTGTGGGTCTGTACAGCCGCCAGTAGGGCTTTTCCAGACTTTTAGATTTTAAAAACCTGCAGCAGGAGAGAAGAAAGCACAGAGCAGTTGCTGGGTGTGGTGGTTCAAGCTGGGCACGCCTTGTCCCCCTGTGGCCTGTGTGGCATCTTCCCTCCTTGCAGCAGTTTATGGCCATATGAGGCATTTCAGACAAGCCGTGAGTATGCCCACATGTGTGGGTACTGCTGCGTGCTCAGTAAAGCACAAGGCCAGCCCAGAATGCTCCATCACCTGCACTGCAACCTAAGCTCAGCTCTGCCCCAGCTTTATGGAAGTGGTAGGTCTTGAGGCAGTGGGGATAAAGAGGGGGTGGATTAAAGGATCTAGTATGTTAAAGCCCACTCTTAAATCTGTCCTTTGCCTTGCAGTGCAGAAGTGGCTTTGAAGCTCCCTGGTATATCCTGCTCCCCATCCACATTTAGGAGTGAAATGAGACATAGGAAAGGTGCAGAGGAGGGTCACAGAACCCGCTAGGAGCTGCAGCGTTTTGTGCCAGCAGTTGTTAGGAAGGTAGGAGTCCACACCAGGAAAAAATAGCATTCGAGCCCTCTTGGCCTTGGAAAGAACCCAAGTCAGAGGGGAGACGGCAGAACGAGCAGGGAGGTGCAAGCCATCTGGCACTGCATTTGCCTTCTCTCAGAGAAGGCATAACTCTGCTCTCAAGGAGACCGAAGGGTAAACGCAGCCAAAGCAGGGCACCACAGGAGCTCTTCTTCCTACATCTCTTGGTCACGTGTGGCCCACGATTGGCAGATCTTGCAGTGACAGTGTCCAGCAGGCTCGTGAAAAGGATTAGAGAGACAAAGAAAAGCAGCCAGGCCAGGCAAATGGGATACTGAAGAAATGCCTATTATCGTGTTTGAGGGCACAAACGACCTCCCGAGTCAAGAAGGGCTGTTACAGAGCCTTCCTCCAAGGTGCTAAGCAACGGGGAACATGAAAGGTTGGTCCTGAACTAGATCAACTATTCTGGCACTTTAGCAACACTTTTCCCACATCTAAAGTTGCCATTTGCCCAGGACCTCTTTTGGATGCAGAAAGCCAAATTGTCCGACGGCTGTTGCTTGTCCAGCTCACAGATGCTGGATGTCTACCCACCACTAACATCCCACCACAGCACCACAGAGAATTTTAACTGACTGCACGCTGACGAAGCTTACCCCCAATCTGCTGGTGTGGCTAAACTGCAGTTACAAGGGAGTGAGCTGAGAGGAGAGAGCCCAGAGACAGACAGAAATGGTGCTGGCCAGAAAAAATAAGCCAGTTAGGGCACATAACTCCCAGCTCACCTGTTTTTCATGTATCTGAGGAAATCAGGGTGAACCACCAGGTACTTGTCCATTGCGAAATCTTCATCGAATCTCTCCCGGGGCCTCTGCCTAAGGACAGAAATGGGGAGACTCAGGACAAGCGCCTGTATTTCATCACAGCTGGAAAGCATCAGCCCTGATGCACTTGGTGATAAGAGAAGAACCACAAACACAGTTAAGTTATTCTGCAACATTTCCCAGATTATGACAAAGCCTCCATAACCTGTGTGTATTGCAGAGGAAGAGATCAGGGAGGAGAGGCAACAACAGGAGACAAGAATATCAAATACAGACAAGAATTGGTGAAACCAGGCCTTCATCCATGAGTAGGCCACCACGTACAGACACCAGACCTGACAACAGCATGTGTTCATCCCAGAGGACCACAAAGCTTTCTCCAAGCTCCGGCCACACATCATTGAAATCAGCTACTTCTGGGAAGGAGGTGTATTGGTTACAGCAGTGCTCGGAGTTGTGGAGGAAATAAGACATTTCTCCAGACAAATCTGCCAGGGGAGGGAGGCTTTAACCTGGCTTTACCCTGGCCTGCCCCTCAGCAGGGCTGAGCACTGTGGAGAGGAAAAGGGCACAACAGAGAGCTCCACACTGAAGGGTGTAGAGGTGGGGCCAGTTTTACCCGTAGTGGTTCAAGAATCCTTCCCTGATGTTCTTATTCGACAGAAGAGCCTTCAGCCACTCATAGTCTCTAGCTCCCTCCAGGAAGTGAATGTACCTGACATCCTAAGAAAACAAGTGAACATTAATGAACAGCACAAGAGAGACACGTCCTTTAAAAACAAAAAGCAAGTAGGCATCTAGGATCACTGAGTTTCTCAGACACACATCTTTGGTCTGCAGCTTTTAACTATCCCACAAAAGCAGAATGGAGATAACATCTGATGTGCAGCTACTTGTACATGCCAAAAGGCTGGGGTAGGACTGACGCAGCTTGCCACTGCAAATACTCACTCCAAGCCAAGCCAATGCAAGTTCCCTCACTAAGGGTAATGCTAAAGTGTTAGCTCAGCCCTTTTGCTCCTCATGCACGGCAAGATCAGAACTGAAGGCCACAGACTAACAGCATCCCGTCAAAGCTGTGCATGCATACAGCATGGACCTGACTTACTTTTCCCTGTGGGATGTTGCTGAACCCTCTGTGTCCCAAGATCTGGAGAGAGGACACCAGGGAGTAGGCTGTGAATCCATAAGAGGAGGTTTTTGGTCCCACACCTTTTTCGTAACCTTTGGTTACAGCCCTGCTCACCCTGGCCAAAGAAATCAGAGGAGCAGAGTTAGCAGGTGACCACTGAAAACCCATGCATCCATGTTTATAACAGGAAAAGACAGCATTAGTCTGGAGTAAGGGAGAATTAAGCCCATTTTGAGCTACACCTCTTGATCTGCAGGAGAGCCCCTGCTTTGGAGATGGCTCTTACGGCTCATCTGTGAACCCAGGCTCTTCCTGTGTGTTTAGGAACTTTCCAATTCCTTTTTGATTTTTCATCTCCTCCTGCCATCAGTCATTTTGGCACTTGGGAGTCAGTGCAATACTAGAAGAGGTGAAGTTATCCAGCCGTAATTATCTGCCAGCCAGAATAAGCTAGCTGTGTCTCTTCTAAGAGGGAAGCCTGCCTTACCAGAAGACATAGTCATGGGAGTCGATCTCCTGGCCCATCCCAGAGTTATTCAGTATTCCTCCATTCCCACGACAGCACAGCTGATGCATGTTGGCATGCTGCTGTTGGCCAGGAGCAGCTGCTGGTGGGGATTCGGGGGCAGCAGGGACATGACCTCCTCCACCACTGTGAAGCAAACATGGTGGAGAGTTAGCATCAAGAGCCTTCGGGATGGACACAGTGAAACCACCAGAGTTTCCACCATGAGATCCACCTAGCCTGATGCCTTTGACAGGGAGATGCTGCAAACCTCCAGCTACTTGGCATAAGGTTCCTGTTGGGAGTTTGATGGTCCCATCCTGACATGCTCTGAAGGACTCATGTGAATAATTCAGCTCCATGAAGCCATACGGAGGTGCAAAATGCTCCAGGCGGTCCCACTCACTGTCATTTAAGTATCTCTTGTCTGTGAAGAGCATGATGTTGGGCAGGAAAAGATCTTGCAGCCAGTCAGACTTGGCAGCTTTGCCCTTCACTGATTCAGAGCGGGTCTTGAAAAACAAAAAGAAAACAGTAACGACTGATTAGCAGGGAGCTGATAAACCTGACACAAGCCAGTGCTTGTGTGCCTTTGTGTGAGAGTATTGGAAAGAAGCATAGGAACTACAGTGGCATATCATCCATTCCCCTCAGTGTCCCCATCACCATGAACATGAGGTATAATTTCAGCACTACATCAGTAACTAGCTGGCGGAAGGTCACCTACAAGGAAGCCAGAGTGACTCCAGGTCTCTGAGACTTTCCTCTTCAGAACAACAGGCCTGAGATGCTCACGTTTTACTGGCTTTGGGCCTCATTAACTGATGCACATTAATATCTGTAATAGGTCTAACCCAAACATACCAAATAAGACTAGCAGTCCCTGTTGGCAATGCACCTCACAGGGTCCTGGCCTCAGAGTGCACATGAGCAAACACATCGAGGAACATGTGAGATCAGATCACCATTATCACTCCCTTTAAAGAAAACATGTGCAAACAACTTGTTCACATCGTAAATGAATCACAGAGAAGCATGCGGCTGAGAAGGGAATCCAAGCCAGCTTATCCTCCCTAACAAGAGGGGTCTCATTGCAGCTGGCCAGAGTTAGGCTGTGTGTGCAGATGGAGAGCAAACAACTCCATTGCGCTGGATTTTCCGCTGAGTCAATTTGGGCTCTACTTTCTTAGACATCTTCCCCAAATACCTACTGCAATACCTACTGAAAGACAAAACAGGAGACCAAGTAGATCTGCATGCCCAGCTGAAATCCCCAGCAATGACCAGACTACATTGCCAAAGCCTTGCTGTGTGCTCCACAGCTGAGCTGGCCTCTCTGCTACGGGTGAGGATGACAATCCAGTCACAGCCTGAGGAGAGAGCCCTCATTCTGCCTGTCACAACAGGACTGCAATGAGAAGAACATTGTGGAGGGTTTCATGTTGGCATCATTTCACTTGTAGCACACTTCATGTCCAGAGACGGGGACATTCCCTTCCTGCTCAAGCTGTACTTTGTACTGTCCAAGGCTTGGTACTTCTTGTGCCTCCACAGCTAGACTGGATCAATACCAGAGGAGCTAGGGAAAAGTCTGATCATGTAGGAAATGAAGGAGGCGGGAGTGCTTCTAGTCACTCCCTTTCTCTGCAGAATTAGAGATCAGGTTTGGGAATGAGACCCAACATGTGATGTCTGGATCCACATCTTCGCTAAAGACCCTTCTGCGTGCATTTTCTCCTCTTTTCCGTACTGAGGAAGGGTCTTCCCCACTGCGTCAGCTCTGAGGCTCTGCAGCCTCAGTTACAGTGGAGGATGTTCTCAGTTTTGTGCTGTGACCTGCTGTCTCACATTTTTCTGCCAGCTCCTGCTCTGCACTTCTGAGACAGCTCATCAGATGAGAAGACAGAAGCATCTGACAGTCGATGAGCAGGATCCTGGTGACCTAACCCCACTGTGTCTACAGGCGGTAACACTCAGCAGGAGGAGTGAGGTACTGTCTCATGTGGCATATGCAGTTTGAGCCATGTAATTCGCCTACTCCCATTTGTATTCTGGGTGCCTCGAGACCATGGGGAGCCCAGGAAGGATGCATATCCTGCACCACAGACTGGATCATTTGCCAAGCCCTTCTGCTAAGCCCTTCTGCTGTGACTCAGTAAGGCTGGGCCAGTGCATGAGCTCAAGGGTTTAACAGCCAAGTTCCACATTTAATAGTCACAGATCTTTGGGGCCAGCTGCTCCTCTCAAGCGGCTCAATGCCACACTAAAGAGCACATCCCGTCAGCAAAAGAATGGCTTGCACTGCCCAAAGGGGCAACGGGGAACAACATCAAAATACCACAAGGGAGAGAGAACTCAAAAATAAAAGATCAAAACAATAAAACTAATCCTAGGATTTTTTATCAGCCCAGTTCATCTACCTCTGCTCTCTGCATGTCTCCCAGGGCATCCTGGGGTGCGGAATGGGATTAAATTTTTCAAGAGTAGCCTCTGCTCCACCGGGAGGGGTCTGAGAGGAACAACATGGTGCCTGCAGCCCTGACAGTCCCCTGGCGCAACATCTATGTTCCCCCTAATGCCACCAAAATGACACATGGCAATGGTGGAAGATTGCAGCACTGAGACTTTAAATAGGCAAATAGCTCATCTAAGACCACCGAGCTAGAACAGGTACTCCCATGCTCTGCTCACATGCCTACACCCTCCCTCCTCCCTGAGCACATAAACAGTGTGTAAAGGCCACTTACACCCATGTATAAAGACCTTCCTCACTCTAGAGAGGGTTACCCACCTGTCCAAGCCTTCCAGCAACAGGGGTGCCAGGGAAAACTGCTCTGGGTAAGCTTTACAAAGAGTTACCAGCATAAGATGGGGGACAGAGACAGTATTGTGCACCACAACCTGCCCCATCTGCTTGCTGAGAACTTTGCTATAGTTTATGACTTTCCTAAAGGTCCTGTTCCTGGACCTGAGTAATTATGAAATGCTCAAATTTCATTTTAAATTAGTTCCAAACCCTCATAACTACAAAGGAAAGGTCAAAAATATGGTCAGAACAAGAGTTCAGTGCAAAACAGAAAAGAAAAAGACACGCTTTCAATTCCATGGCTGTTAAGACAACCTCATGGTGGGCACCAGACTTACCATTTTGGAAGATCACATCAGTAATATGACCTACACAGGCAGAGGTGATCACGAGAACTAACCTACAGAACACCACTCCCAAGAAACAGGATCTCTAAGAAAACTTTGAAGCTGTAGCTGTGCAAGTGCTAGTGCTTTGACAGGTATAACTGTATCATTTGAGATTCTCATCTTCACCTCTACAAAAATACTTTACCTGTGCTGACCGGGCCTACAGTTGTTCCTATTTAACAAAGAGGAACAAAGCAAGACTTGTTGAATGCCAGATCTGTTACGAATTATTTGCTCTGCGGTGATGATGGTTCATGCATAGCAAGAAAATTCTAGATAGCAACCTAACATGCTAGGACCATCTGAGTCGTGGAGCTCTGAATGGGTAAAGAGTCTGCTTGTTCACTATGGGTGTCAACATACAGGGTGGAAATGGTGAATTGGCAACACCCAGGAAAGACTCTCCTCTTGTTGATAATAAACCACAAGAACAATTAAAAAAGTTACTTTTTAACCCGTCATTTCTCCAACGGGGTGCACACTTACACACAGTTGAATTTTTGCCAATATTGACAGAAAAATCTTAAAGATGAGAACGGTCCCCACCCTACTGTCTCCAAAGCAGGCAGGTACATGCTTATCAATACTCACCTAATCCTTTTTCTTTGACCTTATTTTGACTTTAATACAAGCAACTAACAAAAGCCTCCGTTCCTGTGCACTGAGACCCTCCTCACCATCACTGCCAGTGTCATTCTTCACAGCCTAGCACAGCACAAGCATCACTGCTGCCCCACCACTGCCAAAGCTTTTGACTTCCTTTGGTATGTATGTGCTTGGGTGAACAGGCACACGGAGGCATTCCTGTTCCCTCACCATGAACCTTCTTGTTTTCTTTAGCTGGGCTGCATAAAACAAAGATCAAGGCAAATCTGGGAACTGTCAACCTGAACCTTCATAGGAATGCAGATGTTCAGTCTCCCATGAGATCGGGTGAGAAATGGGACACCTGTATGAAGACTGCCATTTAGTGCCAGACACCTAATGCCTGCCCGTAGGCATCACAAGACTAGGTGTGACCCAGCTTACCTTAGGGTGCCACGTCACAGGGAACATATACGCTGCATTGCATGCCTAAGTCCCCTATGCAATATATCAAGGCACCTAAGAGTGGGACCGTCTTGTAGCATATCTAGAAGGAGAGAGATTTTCCCCAGCTTCTGATGCACCTGAGCTCCAGAAAGGGTTCTCAGGCTGACTTTCAAAGGAACCCATGGAAATGCATGCGATTGCAGTAAGTTCCCATACTGGAGCATGATGAAGGACTGGCCAGGCTAATTGAGTTGTACATATAGGTCTCCCTCTCTGGGTCCCAGCAGCATCTGCATATACCAGTGAGCTGACCTACCAGCTTGGAGATCATCCTCGACTGCAAAGGGCACACATGCCTAGGGGACAGCAGACAAGGAGGTCAACAGGGAAGCATCATTCTTGGTGAACGCACACAGCCATCACACCTACCGATAGTGGAGATGAGATGTCCAGCAGGTACTTGTCCTCAAAATCCCACTGCGGCTCAGACTTGAAGTCAGCAGCCTTCAGTTTCTTCTTTTCTGTCACTGCAGCAGCCTGAGGAACAGGTCTTACAGTTTTCATTGATGCAGGAGGCTCTTTTGGCTTTGTTTGGTCTTTGGAGATGTTGTTTTCATGAGCTCCCTTCACCCCAGAGGATGGTTTCATTGTTGCCTTCTCCTTGGCTTCCTCCACCCTGGGAAGCGGTTTCACTGTTGTCTTTTCCTTGGCTTCTTCCACCCCTGGGGCTATTTTTTCTGTTTTCACTGTTGTCTTCTTGATTCCCTCCAATCCGGGGGGTGGTTTCACAGTCAGGTTCTCCTTGGCTTCTTCCACCCTGGCAACTGGTTTTGTCATTTTGTTCTGCTCCTTCTTTCCTTCCCATCTTGGTGTCCTCTCAACCGTATCTCGTTCGAGCCTTGTGATTTCTCTCCCCAAATTCACCTTTAAAAAGCTCCTTGAGTTCCCATTATCAGAATAGTTTAAACCCTGTTGCTTTTGGGTGTCCACTTGCAGCGTATCTGGGGCACATTGCAAAATGCTCAATTGCCTGAATGCAATCAAAGGAAAAGCAGACACATCACACACGCTTTCCACTGAACACCTTCCAGCCCACCTACTGCTCTTGACTCAGCCCCTCTCTGTGCTTCAGAGCAACCGTTGCATATGACCAGGATACTCAGAGCACTTGCCTTGGCAACTGCCACTGAGTTTCTGCAGGATGTTCTATGAATTCAATTTCATTTTCAACTTTGCCACCAAAGTGTTATTCAGCTTCCCACACCATTCTGGCCTGAATACCGCTTATCTCCCCACTAAGCAAATCCCAGAAGCTACACACTCCTCTTCAGCACTTGGCTCATGAAACATCCACACTGGCAGTAACTGCAAACCAACACAGAACAGCTTTGCCCTGCACTGGGCAGGACCCCTGGCAATGTCCCCAGAGCACTGCAGGACTGTTTCGGGAGATCCTGAGTTCAGAACATGGCACACACCATGAAGGCAGCCATCTGGCTCTCTTTTTTGCCAGCAGAGCCAAGTGCTTCAGTGACAGAGCATGAAGATCTTCCAGAATTCAGTAAGTGAAGTCTAATAGGAAGTGAAACTCACTCCTTACCATACATCACTTCTTGAGCATTTGGGGCCACAAGGCACTTTTTCCTCTCCTCCTCGCCCTTAGCCAGCTAATGCAATGGCATCACACAGCACTCGCCAGGTGCACATGTCTTAAGACAGGTACTTTGAAGCTATTAAAATACACTCTGAAGCTTAAAAATGTAAAGTCTCTGCATTTTCAGCAATCGCCTCTAATATTGCAGCTGCCCTGTTGTCTGATTCAGAGGCACAGGCAGGTACAAGGATACCATAGGAAGATACAGCTGCCAACAGCAGAAGAGCCACCTGCAACAAGACTGGGCTGAAATCCAGCAAAAAAATCAAGGCAGAAGTGGTGGGGTTTTGTCCCAAACATTCATTCTTATCTGCATGTGGCTGGAGGGTGGAATAGGAAAAAGGAAAGTGAAAAATTTCTGCAGCTGAGCTTTATGTACAGCAAAGCTTTTCGGGATAAACCAGCGTAGTTGTGGCAGTCTGATTTCACACTCACGTTCACCCTTTGCACGACACATTTGTTTCGGAGAGCTGTGGATTGCTTCCAAGGTGATAAATGGGAAGAAAAGCACCTCTGCAGATAGCAGGCTGTAGATGACAGTTCAATTGCTGCAGAAGCTTCAGAGTGGTATGGCATTCATTACAGTGATTAGGAAATTATCAACTAAGGAGGCTTTTAAAAATCATTTTGTATCAGATAAATACTTGAACCTTTCCAGCACTATTTCTAAGAAAAAGAGGTTGTGGTAAATGGCCTATCAGCCCTTCCTCTACCTCCCCTCACAATCATTAGCCAGCTTCAACCATGTATGCAGCAGTTGCTTTCTATCATAGTGCTTCATGTATAAACTTGTGTTACTGTTTACTGCCTAATAAGAGGAAAGATTTTATATATACGCTTTAAGTAAAGAGAAATTTGGTAAGGTAGCTCAGGCAGATCTTAAATCCCTGGATGATTTTCTGTTGTATTTTTAAGATGATGCTTAAAATTTTGAAATTCAAGGGCAGAGAACAAATGAAACAGGACAGTATGACAAACCACCCCCCAACCCAGACTTTCCATATTTGCTGTCTTGCAGGGCACAGATTCCACCCCAGCTCTATTACACTTCAATTTCAAATACTGTGTCAAACATACAGAGACCAAAATGTAAAACTGAGGACCCTTCACATCCAAAACCTTGCTCCCTGCAGTCAGACCCACATGGCCAGGCACTCGTGCCTACACAGGACCCTGCTCTCCTGACCAGCATTTTCAATCCAGACAAGCGGTCAATGCAGCTCATCAAATTTCAGGCTCTAGAGTCCAGCTGGCAAACAACTGCAGAAGCTCAATGATATTTACTGTCATTTCTCTCTCCATTTACAAAGCCCTAGGACAAATAGAGGATAAAGCCATGAAAACGCTGCTTTGTGTATTTTACATTGCATATAAAGGTACGAAAATAGAACTGACACACAGACAACCACATACAGCTCATGCCTAGTTGTGTTTTACTTAAGTTGCAAAAATACGGACATTTCCATTATCTGAAACTACAGCAGAATGAAATGGCTTCAAGCAGCTGGGCACAGAGGGCCAGTTCTTGTCCCAGCTCTGCCACTGATGGGCTCTGTGATCAAGGACAACTCACTTCACTTCTCACACCTCCTCCTTCTCCCTGCCTCCCTTGTGCAGATTCTAACCTCTCCAAATTGATAGTTGTCCTCAAGGTGTGGTCACAAGTCACTGGAGCTGAGCTAAACTCATGCCACCTCCAGAAGAGATGTAGGTGTTTCCAACATCACCCCTCCTGCCTGCCCCCACAGCATCAGCCCTGAGAGATCCAGCTGAAAACTAACCCCACCAAGACAAGCCAGACGAGCTCACCGGGAGAGCTGGGACCATGTGAGGGCTGGTGGGGAGGCTGGGGAGCTGTGCTTCCTACACACAGCACAGGGCACCAACATGTAAGCGAGCCGTGCTTGTAGTAGGAAAGGCTCAGATACCTGCTGTGCTCATGCAAGGAACAGCGCTTCCTGCCAACAACACTGGAGACATTTTACCGCAATTTACACTGCAATTTCCTCCACGCCCATTCTTGTAGGATTTACTTGACCATTCATATAAAAAGTAATATATATATTGATCATGTCTGCATGACATTGGTCTCCCAGTATGCAGCATATTTGTATTAGGAATCAGATGTTTAACTTGCTATAAATTCAAAGGTATCCCACCAAATTCAATGTCCAGCAATGCAATCTGGACTAGGGCTGAATGAGGTCCTCCTGGGAGACACCAGGAAAAGCAAATACTATGTAGTGCCAAAATACGATAACAGGTAGCATTAGTCAAGAAAAAGCTGCTTTCTTAAACAGCTACACAAGGGAACACTGGAAACGAGCGATCCAGCAGAAGCAAGTTTTTGACTGTGGATCTTCCACCACCACGCTCTGATTGTACACAACATGGTCTGCTAAAGCAAAGTGATCATCTAACTCAGATCAGAAGTGCAAGTTTCAGGGTAAAAAGACACAGAGACAGAGAGAGAGAAAGAAAGTGAGCACAAGCACTCTATCCAGACAGCGCATATCACAAGGAAGCAGGTCTCTTACCTGAAAATCCTTGTCTTTGACAAGCCAGACAAGGAGCTGAAATTAGCAATGAAGATGCAAAAGTGTGTTAAAACAATGAGCCAAATGAGGCTCTGGGAATTTTAGGAAGCCTTCTCCTGAAAAACCACATGGTGAGATGCCTGAGAGCAAGAGGCTCTGCTGCTGCTGCCCAGAGGTGCGTTGAATGAATGGGCTGCTCTTACCTCTGGATTTCCCTACAAGAACATGCACACCCTCTCTTCCCAACATTCCCAGACATTCCACACACGGATCCAATTTCTCAGACAAGACAGCAGCTTTGCACTGGTCCCATCTATCACCCTAAGCTTATTGCAACATGGAGTGGGGAAAGAAACACCTTTTATTGCAAACAATGGAAGTTTCCTATGTTTTCCTTATTGAGGTTAGTCAGGTGTAAGAAGGAAATCCTTCACCTCTAATGTGGTGGAAGCATCACTGGGAACATTCGTGTGAATTATGGAAGTAGCCATAGTTACAGTCAAAGAAATTAGCTTTCAGACCACCACCTGCCCAAGGGCTCAGGCAAGATCCTAGGCATAACCATAAATAGATCTTTATTTTCTTCTTCATGCAGTACTTGCTTGTAGCTCCAATCCAGAAGCAATCCCTGCCCCCAAAAGCTGATGGCTAGAGCCATCCATTTTACCTTGTTATTGCTTTGAAACGAGTCAAAGTAAGACTCTTTGCAAACCCACCATAGAACAGAGGTGTTTGTGTTTAAAGGCAGATTAGTGCTTGGGTAAAGCATTAGAGGACAGGGCTTAGAGTCAGTCAGTCTCCTCCCTCTCTAATAAAGCCAACCTGCCTTTAGGACAACTGGAAAAACCTCAATCCAGCATTTCACTTGCCTGAAAGGTGCCAACCCCATCACAATCTAACCCTGCTATTGCTGACAAACTTTTTATGCAGGCCTGCTTGCAGCTCAGGTTCCCAAGCTGGCTCAAGAGTGTTCCACTTCAGCTCTGAGACGTTTGTACAGATAGCAGCAATACACACTCTTCAGCTGCTCTTCTTTGTGAGCTCTCAGTCAAGCTTCCTCCAGCACCAACTCTAGGACTGGTCTTTTACTTTCGGCTTTTGAACTCTTGCCACACCACTTCACAGCAATCACTGAGTGGCCAGAAAATGATAGCTATGTCAGTCCACCACTAAAACAGGACATGGATGGATTTGAGTCTGTGCCTAGTTGTAGAATTTAAAAGAACCAGATCACCCTGGTGACACCCACAGTACAGCACCTTGAAATTCAGTTGGTTTCAAGGGAGCATCTAATATATCTGAATTTTTATTCCACGTTAACACCAAAATATATTTCAAGTTTCTCGCATCTGTGAATCATGCCATCATGGACAGACAGACAGCTGCCTTCTACACTACTGCCCTTAGAGGGACCCTGGTCATTCGGGTTTTGTACACTACAACCAGGCTTTGCTCATCAACAGTGTCAGTTAAAACAAAGCTTCACTAATGCTATGTGCACACGAAACACTCCAAGGGTAATGAATCCCTGCTGCAACGCTAGGGGTTTGCACTACACTTGATTTGAGCCACGAGCATATTCAGACCTGGGATATGTTGCTTCTCCTTGATAGATAGCATGTGACAACCTCTCTCCCTATCCCAAGTTCCACAATACGTATCTCATCCTTTCCTCTTCATGAAAATCAGCGGTCTGCCTGGAGATCGATCTTTGACAGTCCAGAATACATCTCCCCAGCCGCAGAGGGAAAGATTAGCAGAGATAAACACCACAGCCAGAGAAATGCTTACCTGTACCAGAGCTGTAGTTTTACATGCTACAGCAAAGGGCTATTTTAACTCATGGGGAGCTGTTAAATATTAACCCTGACAGTTCAAAGGGAGATGGCCATATTGCTTCTTACGACATAGGCTGCTTTTGCACAGCTCTTACCAAAGATTAAGCTCAGATATAAAAAAGCTTTTGCTGACAATGTCACAAATCTCAGAAGCTAGCACTCACACTGTTACTGAATACACAGAGAACTGAAGATGTTTGCTCTAAGTTAGAGGAAAGCCAGTCAACAGGTTTCACACCTACCTTGTACCCCTCCATGCATCACAGCAAAAAGCTGCATGGATTCCCTGTACAAGGCTCAGCAGTAGCTGCATTTCTTTATTGTCCGTACTTCCTGACAAGTTACTTTCTCTGGATTTAAGTGCAAGACATCGGTTATCAGGGGACCTAGGAGAGAAAAATGAAACAATAACACAGGTTTGAAAGGCCCTTGAAGAAACACAAGGGAGGTTGTTAGTCCACGGTACAGCCCTGCCTCCATCTACAGCAAAACGTTTCACTATTGCACAAACTGAGCCTAGGATCAAAGAAGATCTGTTGAACAATTACAGGCACTGAGAAAGGGATCAGCCAAGGTATTGCCTTATTTCTGGGCAGCCCTCATTAGCTCCAGGCAATTCTAGAGAGGTGGGCTACAGGTCTGGGTGTGCAGCAGGCAAGTAGCAACTCTGTGCCCACAAGATCTCCAACAGGACATTCTTACGGGAACAAGTATCAGTCCTGAAGCACTGATATGCAGCAATGGCTTCATTTTAGCCTTCCTCTTTCAAGCCCTATGCACCTTCAGGCATACTGCTTGGAAGAAGCTGCTTGTGTGCGACTACAAGGCTTTTTTTGTTAATAGGGTCCCAAAGGGAAATTCTGGAGGCAGCAAACATTTTCCTTCAACCTCCTCCATGTAACATTACTGCAAAACCAAGAGCCACAAGGGATAGCAAGATTCCTACAACCAGAAAAAGACAGCTTGCTTTGCTTTTAAGGAACTGTGCTGGCAATTGTGGAGAACATGTCTGTAGTACTTTATGTTCAGGAAAGACTGTGCTTGGGGGAATATCCAAATCTCTGGCAAGCGCATTAGCCAAAAGCAGGCTTGCTACACAAAACAGTTTTTCACCTTCTTGGTGTAAGAAAAGAAAACCTAGAAAAACCCCAAACTTATCAGAGTACTGCCTTTCTCTTCCTTGGAGTATTATTTCGTCATCCTCCACCCCCACTGCTGAAATCAGTCTGTCAGAGCTCAGGCAGCCAGGCTGGTTAGCTCAAACATAAGGTCAGATTGGGAAATGGGGATGTATTGTAACTCCTCAGGGATGGCCTGGTGAAAACTGAGGCCAAGAGCAGAGCTGCTCCCTTGTAAAGCTCTGTAAGAAGTACGATTCCTGGGATACACAGGGCTCCCAGCCCACAGAAAGGGACATAATAAGCAAAGACTGCACCTAACACAGGGGTTGGCAACCTCTCAAGGGCCACAGGCCAGACTCCAGCCTCCTTTTCCAAACAAGATGTTTTGCATGTTTCTCTGGCAGTCCTACTGGCAATCCCCAGAGATACTGCTTCTCTCATGGTGCAGAGACTCTGAGCCCAGCACTGCTGCTCCATGTTCAGTGTGTCCAGCTACCAACATCAACGCCCACACCAGAAGTTTTTCTATTCTTTAGTGCTGTGAAAACAAGACATTTTTTAAAACAAACTCCACCTGGGACCATCAAGTGAAGATGGTTATTTGTTAGCCCTTTTCCATCTCTAACAGTCCATTTAATTCCACATCCACTTAATTACATCCTTAGTTACACCCTGGACAGATAAAAGGCAGATTTGCCCTTCTGATTTTTTTCCCTAAACAAATGTTATCTCCATTAGATCTTAAGCTGTGTGTTTTGTGGGTGTCAGCTAGTGTCTGAACTGTGCCAACAATTTATCTACGTGCACGTTCTCCAGAGGGCTGTGTATCAAATCTTGCTTACTTGCCTGCACCCTGTGTGCTTTCCGCTTTCCCATGGCTCTGGGCTAGGGAACAGGGCATCACAAGATGTCCTTTAAGGACAGAGCTGTTCTACGAATTGATCAAATGGCACTATAGGACAAACCTGTCTTTCAGCGATGTCCACAACATACCACAACCAGTACTTGACTGGAAGCCTGTGGAATAAGGACCTGCTAATGAAGCTGGGGATGTTTGGACCTGTTCACAGTATTACCTGATGATATAAGAACTGAGTGAGTTATAACTGGGAGAGAAAAAGAATGACGTTGCCTGCAGCATATGACTGCTCAGTGATCATGCCTGTGGGTTAGCAAAGGCTAAGCTAGCAAAGGCTTGGCTTGGAAATGTTACGTTCTTGTTTTCCCCTCCCAGTTCAGCAGTCATCTTTAGAAGCACATGCTTTCAGGCTGGGAATCCAGGGGGGAAGAAATTACAAGAGCAAACTCTGCACGGCTATTTGTCTTGCTTTCACCAAAACTGTTGCCCAACAACTCCCAAGCTTGCCTTAATTCCACACTCACTGGCCATCTTCCAGCAAGTCCCTTCTCTTCTGCGCCAAACCTTCTCTCAAAAACACTGAACAAACACCCAGAGACAACAGCGTTTACTGGGGCAAAGTCCCCACCTCTTCTACTGCTGCCCTTGCAAGAATACCTACAGTTTTGTCACAGAGCAAGGCCTCAGAGAACTGCGCCAGGAGGTGGGGAACAGCTTAGTGAGCCAACTGGTCTGTATTCTCCACAGGCTGAAGTGCCCCAAGAGAGAAACAGACGGTGGCTTTCATGGTGGAATGCTAGCAAGCGCCTCCTCAGTGTCCACACAGCAGAGCTGCTGAAAATGGAAAACTTGTTCGTTTTTTATTAGTGCTGTTTTGTCTGCTTGGTATCCAGCCCCACCCAGCTAATGCCCCAGTAAAGAAACTGCCTTGAATCTATGTTGTAACAGCAGATGATATGGGTCCAACCTGGAATATTTCCCCCTCTCCCACACGGTAATGGGAACATAGGCAGGCTCCTCCAGCCAGCTCCCACGCACCAGGGAAAGCCCTTGCCTGGAGCAATCACTGGGAGATGGGGTATAAATGCTCTGAATTTGGCCATATTACAGCCTCTGGTCACTGGAACTTGTTTTAGTTCTTTCTGCAAGCACAATGACTACTCAGCTATTGAGCATGTTCCCCGTGGCCACAGGCTATAGGTGTTAACCTCTCTGTATTGAGTGAAGCAGACCAAGTCTTAGGTCACACTGCTTTTCTGCTTCTTGAGGTCTTCACCATTCACCCCATCCCACTTAAGCTGCCACACTGAAA